CTACTCCAATAAGGAGTTGGAAATTCTCTTTGAGTTCTATTCAAACAAGGAGACGGCAATTTTGTTTATTCCTTCCTAAGTTAGGAATCCTACTGCATTAAGGAATAGTCAAGTCAATTCCTACTAGAAAGTGCTTGAACTGAACTCTTCGTTTTAATTTGTTTAAGTTTGGTTCTTTTATTGGTTTTCTTGTTCGTTCCTTTGTGTCTTTCTATTTCCTTTAACTCTTGTAGATTTGTTGGAGTTAGATTGCTGCAAAATAACTTGAATTGAACTTGTTTAGTTCAATAACAAACTGAAAAAGGAAAGTTGAGTGAGGGAAAAAGGCAAGAGGTATGAGCAACACTTGAGAGAAAAGCCAAGTTCTACAGTGTGTAAAACACGAGCGTTGAGTGCCATTTTGTGAGAGAATGGAGTGAAACACGTAAGGGAGTGTTGTGAGGTCCTTTTTATTCTTCTATTTCTAACATTTGTTACAGGCTTAAATCATGTCAAGCGGTGATGACAAATCAACCACTAGAAGCCACCATGTGGATGAATCCTTCATGCTCAAAGCAATGCAACAAAAATTTCAGAGGCTGAACATCATGTTTGGTGAGATTAAAGACAAAATGGAGAAGCAAGATGCAACGATAGCCAAGTTATATCAAACACATAATGGAAGTCCGAATTTGCGTAGGAATGATGCTAATGATGATTTCGATGACGATTATAAAGATGCATTCAACAATGACGCCCGGAACTCAAATTTCAGCATGGACAGAATTATGAGAGGTAGAGGGGGCCAAAGAGAGCAAAATCTGACAAGGTGGGGAGATTGGCAAGATCGTGACTTAGGTAGCATCAAGATGAAGATTCCTCCATTTCAAGGCAAGAATGATCTAGATGTGTGTTTGGAGTGGGAAAAGAAGGTGGAATTAGTGTTTGATTGCCATAGCTATTCTGAGGAGAAAAAGATGAAACTAGCAACGGTGGAATTTACTGATTATGCTGTGGTGTGGTAGGATTAGCTTGTGCTTAGTCGATGTAGAAATCAAGAGCATCCTGTTGACACTTGGGAAGAGACGAAAGTTGTGATGAGAAAACGATTTGTTCCTAGTCACTACTGCCGTGATCTCTATCAATGATTGCAGGGCCTTACACAAAGGTCCAAAAGTGTTGAGGATTATCACAAAGAGATGGAAATCGCAATGGTTAGAGCAAATGTGGAAGAGGACAGAGAAGCAACTATGGCACGGTTTCTGCATGGCTTAAATCGTGATATAGCTAATGTGGTGGAGCTGTAGCATTATGTGGAATTGGAAGATATGGTGCATATGGCGATGAAAGTAGAACGGCAACTCAAGCATAAAGGAGCCACCACCAAAATTGGGCAAAATTCAGGTTCCTCATCTTCTTGGAAACTGAATTGGAGCAAAAAGGAAGAAAATTCTGTTTTTAAGCCTAAAACTGTAGCATCTGAGTCAAAAGAAGTTGGTAGCAATGGGAAGAGTAAAATAGACAATACGTAAGGCAGAAACCGAGACATCAAGTGTTTTTGATGCTTGGGAAGGGGGCATGTTGCATTGCAATGTCCTAATAAGCACACGATGATCTTGAGAGAAGATGGAGAAATTAAAACCGAGGGTGAATCTGATGATGAATCTATGCCACCATTAGAAGATGCTAATAATGGTGTGGAATATGCTGTTGATGGAGAACTGCTCGTCATCAGGCGAGTTTTGAATGTGCAAGCCAAAGAAGATGATGAAGTACAACGTGACAATATATTTCACACGAGGTGCCATGTCAAAAACAAGGTATGTAGTGTGATTATTGATGGTGGTAGTTGTACTAATGTAGCTAGCATTGTTTTAGTTGAAAAGCTTAATTTACCTATGACGAAGCATCCAAGGCCATATAAGCTGCAATGGTTAAACAATTGCGAAGAAATCAAGGTAAATAAGCAAGTTCTGGTTTTCATTCTTTATTGGACAATATAAGGATGAGGTACTTTGTGACGTGGTTCCTATGCATGCTGGACATTTACTTTTATGGAAACCATGGCAATATGATAGGAAAGTAACACATGATGGCTTCAAAACTCGTTATTCATTTGTCATGGAAGGGAAAGCAATTACTCTTGCACCATTGAGTGCAAGGCAGGTTTATGAGGATCAACTGAGAGTAAAAAAAGAGAGTGAGCTTGAGGGTATAAAAACAAAGAGGAAACAATAGAAAAAGAGTCCAAAAAGAGAGAAAAGATTGAGAGTGTTGAAAACAAAGAGAGAAAATCAGTGAGTGTTTATGCAAAAGCAAGTGATGTCAAGGCTGCGTTCTTTGTAAAGCAGCCTATGTTTGTGCTTCTGTATAAAGATGCTTATTTCAACACTAACGAACTTAATGATTCTTTGCCTAGTGTTGTTAAATCTCTTTTGCAGGACTTCAAGGACGTGTTTCCAAAAGACATCCTTAACTATTTACCACCAATAAGAGGAATTGAGCATCAGATTGACTTCATTCCAGGTGCAATAATTCCAAACCGACCAGCATATCGAAGCAACCCCAATGAGACGAAAGAACTTCAAAAGCAGGTTGAAGAACTCATGAAGAAGGGGCATGTGAGAGAAAGCATGAGTCCATATGCAGTTCCAGTGCTACTTGTGCCTAAGAAGGATGGGACTTGGCGTATGTGCGTTGATTGTCGCGCTATCAACAAAATCACTGTAAAGTATCGTCACCCTATTCCTAGATTAGATGACATGTTAGATGAACTGCATGGTTCTTGCATATTCACTAAAATTGATTTAAAGAGTGGTATCATTAGATTAGGATGAAGGAAGGTGATGAATGAAAAACAGCCTTTAAAATGAAACATGGTTTATATGAGTGGTTAGTTATGCCATTTGGATTAACTAATGCACCTAGTACATTCATGCGATTAATAAATCATGTTTTGCGTGCTTTCATTGGCAAATTTGTGGTTGTTTATTTTTATGACATTTTGATATATAGTAAGAGTTTAACTGATCATATTGAGCATCTGCGAATGGTATTAGAGGTTTTGAAAAAAGAAAAGTTGTTTGCTAACCTTAAAAAGTGTTCCTTTTGCACAAATCAGATTGTCTTTTTAAGGTATGTTGTTTCAGCTGATGGAATTGCAGTAGAGGAAGAAAAGATTAAGGCTATTAAAGAATGGCCAACACTTAAGAATATTTCTGAGGTGCGAAGTTTTCATGGTTTGGCAAGTTTCTGCCGGAGATTCATCAAGAACTTCAGCACAACTGCAGCTCCATTGATTGAAATCGTGAAAAAAAGTGTTAGATTTAAGTGGGAAAGTGAACAGGAGAATGCTTTCAATTTGATTAAGGAGAAGTTAATTTCTGCACCATTACTTGCTTTACCTGATTTTACTAAAACTTTCGAAATTGAATGTGATGCATCAGGTATTGGCATTGGCGCTGTTTTGATGCAAGAGCGGCGTCCTATTGCATTTTTTTAGTGAAAAATTGACTGGTACAGTACTTAACTATCCTACATATGACAAAGAGATGTATGCATTGGTAAGGACCTTAAAAATGTGGCAGCATTATCTTTGGCCTAAGGAGTTCGTGATACATACTGATCATTAGTCATTGAAGCACCTCAAGGGACAAGGTAAGTTGAATAGACGACATGCTAAGTGGGTGGAATTCCTTGAGACATTTCCCTATATGTTCAAGTACATGCAAGGAAAAGAAAACATTGTGGCTGATTCATTATCTCGTAGGTACACACTTATCTCTACTCTAAGTGCAAAGCTATTGGGATTTGAGCACATTAAAGAATTATATGCTAATGATCCAGATTTTGCTAATGTGTTTAATGCATGTGAGAAGGCAGCTTCTAATAAGTTTTATAGGCATGATGGGTTCTTATTTAGAGAAAATCGATTATATGTGCCTAACTGTTCATTAAGAGAATTGTTAATAAGGGAATCACATGCGGGTGGCTTAATGGGACATTTTGGAGTTAGGAAAACTTTAGATATTCTGAACGATCACTTCTTTTGGCCACATATGAAATGCGATGTTGAAAGGATGTGTGAAAGGTTCATAACATGTAAACAAGCAAAATCTAGAGTTTTACCACATGGTTTGTATAGTCCCTTACCCATACCTACTGAACCTTGGGTTGATATATCTATGGATTTTGTTCTGGGCTTACCAAGGTCGAAAAAAGGCCATGATTCTATTTTTGTTGTTGTTGACAGGTTCTCGAAGATGGCACACTTCATTCCATGTCATAAAACTGATGATGCAACTAATATTGTTGATCTGTACTTCAAGGAGGTTGTTCGTTTACATGGTGTTCCAAGGACTATTGTTTCTGATCGCGATGTTAAGTTCTTGAGTTACTTTTGGAAGACCTCATGGGGAAAGTTGGGAACTAAGCTATTGTTTTCGACTACTTGTTATCCACAAACTGATGGACAAACGGAAGTTGTTAATAGGACGTTGTCAGCCTTATTGCGTTCTATTATTCAAAAAAACTTGAAGAATTGGGAAGCATGTTTGCCGCATGTTGAATTTGCTTATAATCGGAGCGTCCATTCAGCAACTAATTGTTCACCATTTGAAGTTGTGTATGGTTTCAATCCACTCACCCCTTTGGATTTATTGCCATTACCCATTGATGAACGAGCTAGTTTGGATGGGAAAAAGAAAGCTGAAGTGGTTAAGCAACTATATGAGAGGGTGCGACAAAACATAGAGCGACGAACTGATCAATATGCAAATCAAGCCAACAAAGGGCACAAGAAAGTTTTGTTTGAACCTGGAGATTGGGTTTGGGTGCATATGCAGAAGGAGCGATTCCCTGCATAAAGGCGTTCTAAGTTACAGCCAAAAGGCGATGGACCATTTCAAGTGACTGCAAGGATAAACAACAACGCATACAAGTTGGAACTTCCTGGTGAGTATAATGTTAGTGCTACTTTTAATGTTTCTGATCTTTCTCCTTTTGATATAGGTGACGATTTGAGGACAAATCCTTTTGAGGAGAGAGGGAATGATGGGAATCAAGATGACCCCACATGTACCATGTCACGAGATCCATTACACATTCTAGGAGGTCTAGCCACGAGAGCTAAAGCTAGGAAGATGCAAGAAGCTTTAAATAGCCTTATTGAGCAGATCTGGGTTGATAACAACATGCAAGAAGTAAATCAAAGCTTGGATGATTATCAAGGCGTGATAAACATCATTTAGGTTCAAGAGAAGCTTAATTGAGGTCATTGATGCCAAATTACACAGTTTGCGTCAATCTCGCAATTCTGTCACAATTTGTAACAAACTGATATTTCATGTTACTTTAGGTTACTTTAGGTTACTTTTAGTGATTTTCACGTTTATTTATATTATTTTGGGCTGAATATTCATTTATTTAAGACCCAATTCGTGGTTATTATGATTAGGGTTTAGGGTGTTAGTTTTCTATTCTCATTAGAATTACTTTTCCCTATTTAAGGGGCTTGTAACCCAAATTGGGGGAGGCTATTGAATCTGACATTTTGAGAGACTTTTATTTTTGGTTCGTTTCAGAACTTTACAGAACTTATCAAGATTATTCTTGTGGCGTTCAACCTGACTTATCATTCTCGTTCTTAATTGTTTGAGGGTGTGGCATCAACCAACTTTATACCTCTGGTTCTTGTTGCGTCATAGACAACAGGTCAAGGTTTTTACTTTTGGTTCTTGTTGCAACATAAATGGGTCAACGTCCTATTATAAATCTGATTTAGCTTTCTTGGAGTTTAGAAATCCCTTGTCGTGCTATGGGTCTCATTCTCTTTGGGGTTCTCATCACCTCGCGCACCTTCATAAAATATATTTGATTCTCCCATTAGGAAGGACGATTTAGGTGCATTTTGGGCCCCTTTCAATAGCCTTTACTACCACTTTCTTTTACTTTTTATGCTTAAGAACAATTCACAAATTAATATCAAGATTATTTTGGATGTCGTTCTAAGTTGGCAAAGCAATGCCAATTGAGTAGGATACCATTGTTTTGCCAAGAGGAGCAAATTTATCATAGAAGGTAGCTTCAACAAAATGAGTCTTAGTTTGATCAAATGGTAACGCATTAGCAAGAATACAGAAGGCTTTCCCATTTAGATGGTCTTTGACACATTAATGATAAGTAGAAGGAATAACTTTATGTTGGTGCAGCCATGGTCGTCCCAACAATACATGATAAGAGACTTTCAGATCAATAACAAAAAAGGTAGTTAAAGATTGGATTGAATTGTTGGATTGACCTTTAATTCCAATTGGATGTATCCAAGAACATGCACACTACCGTTTCCAAAGCCAACAATGCTAAGCAGAAACTTGACAACCTTTTGTTAGGAGATCCCCTCAGTGATGATGGTGCCTAATGGTATTAAGTCGAGTGAAAATCCAATATCAATGAGTGCGCGTCTAACACGAACAAGGTTGATTTGAGTAGATAAGTAGAATGGCTTTTTGTGGTCAAGATATGGTGCTTCCATATCTTTGTCAATAGAGATGATAGCTTTAGAAGACTCAAGTGCGGCAAGCATGTGCCTGAGCGTTGCAACATTCTTCTCCAGTTTTGTTGGCAATAAAGATGACAGCTTCTGTGGCTCTTCGTCATGCTTCAGTAGTGAGACTAAGCTAATCAAACAGTGATTTAAATTTTGGAGTTCGTTGGAGTACATAGACAGAAAGATTATTTGCATTGTTAGGGATTTCAATGATTAGTGCACTTGCTCCAAGATTTTCCACATGAGTAAGAACATTAACATCACCTTGATTGTGATATGGAAGAGGGTCTTCATCAACTCTTTATCTTCTGTTCAAGATCCTTCCGTAATCTAGCAATGATATATCCTTCTCAAGGACAAACAATCCATGGTTGAGTGATGTATATAACGATGATAATGACAATATTTAGGATTGCTTTTATCATCATCATTGCACTCATGAAGTGATTGAGGCAGTGTTATAACACCATCTACTATCCATTGGTCTAAAAACACATCAAATTCTTAGATAATGAGAGGGATGAGTGGTGGCGATGGTGCATCACAATCACTCCTTTTTTGGCCTTGTCCTTGGCTACAAATAGAGCTCACCAAAGTGTGAGCTGTAGCTTTCTTTTTTGCTGACTACACTATAGACTTTCCAATAGAGATGACTTTGATAGAAATGGCTGTTCTCCTGATAGCATCAAGTAGCCTTGCAAATTGGTTAATTTCAATATTTTCAAGAATAGGATGATATTTATTGTTGATACGAATTTCCACCAAGAAAGATTTAGCATGGCCACCATAGTAATCAAGTACCAAATCTCTAAATCTTTCTAAATAGACCATTAACTCCTTGCCTATACGTTGACAAGTGTTGTGGAGATCAAGAATGGTGATGCATTCCTCACTTAGAAAATATTTTGAACAAAATTGCTCAACCATTTCATCCCAAGATCGAGTAGAGTCAAGGAGCAAAGTAATGTACCAAGTGTAAGCTCTATTGGAGACAAATTTGGAAAACTCTTGTAGGCATAAATCTTTATTGTCAATGTGAGCCCCTATAACATCAAGAAACTTGTTGACATGCTCCACATTGTTGCCTTCCTTCCATCATATTGTGGGAATGTGGGACTTTCAGACTTATTTTGATAGGGTTTAGACAAAATCTCCTTGGGATATGTTGGATCATGGACAAACTGGAAAGTAGTTAGATTTTATTTGGAATGTTCCCTATCCAAGAGAGTAGCAAGGTCTACCATGGTGATGAAGTCTTGGGTGGAATTAGCTACATTTTGTGAAGCCCCATTAGTGTTGGTGGCTACAACTACTAGTGGTGTAGAATTGTTTGGCCACATAGTAGAGCCCCTATTGTTGTCGGTAACCACAATCTAAACCTCCTATGAATGGGATGTCCTAGCCATGTTGGCTTGTTGTGTTGGATCTTGCATAATACGTTGAGCTTCCAAGTTCGAGGGGAATTGAGTAGTCCTTTACTGATCTTTATTCATGATTCGAATAACTTGAACTAGAGACATAAGGTTAGGATCAAAGATTCCTTGTAAGAGATCATTAAAAATATCTATCGAAGGAGGGTGGCTGTTGAACTTCTCGTTCATCATAATGGCCAGGCTCCTAAGTACGATCAATGATACATGATGATGAAGTTGCTCTTATACATGGTCAAAATTTTTCTTTTTTGGTTGAAGATGAATAAATATTGCTAAGGATGGATACTGGAGATGATATACCATTAAAGAACAACAAAAAGAGACAATGCATTAGGATGACCTCCCTAATGGAGTCGCCATTTTGTTGGGGTAGGGGATTGACAAGTCAATAACGATGATGACATGGAAGCTAACTAGGATGCCCTCTACGAGAGATTAGAAGGGTCCTTTTGGCTTACACCCACTTCACATGCAAGAGGTTATGTGCCACAAGTCGTCTCCCTTAATTTGTCCAGCAAGGATAGTCTCCTTTGAGTTCTCTATCAAAATCTGAAAGTATAACTTCCTTAGCTAACCCAAGACAGTTGGGCAGCAATGATAGAGTTTCAAGAGCCCAAGAATGATAACATAACTACTAAAAATAATGAAAATGAGATGTACATTGTGGTAGGAGTAGCATGCATAGAAAATACAAAGAGTGACATTTACAATTTGAGAAGTATATCTATATGAAGTACATTGTAGAATAATAATAAACACAATAGATTTGCCCTCTACTATCCTTGGCAACTACTCCCACTCTAAAACAAGCAACCCTCATGTTGTGGTTAAAAAAAAAACACAATAATCTTCTTCAAGCTTCCACAAAACAAAAAGGAATAAATTCAAAATAATGATGGGAGAAGAAAGGATGATCATTTTGGGGGCTTTTGAATGGAGGACTTAATCTCATGTCTTAATGCCAACTTTGCTAGTTAAGCTTCTAATGCTCAAGAAAGACAAATTAGAATCATAAACTATAGCATAAAGTCCCTTAGCTAAGATGTGCTGCAAGTCTAGAGTGTATCTACATGGCTGGAAGTGTGGAAAATATGAGAAAATGAAGATTTCTAGGAAATTTTTGTAGGAGAATTGGAAGGTTAAAGATGAAGAATTCTTCAAAGGAAAATTGTGTTTTCTACATAAACAATATGCTATATCTCTCAAAAATGAATCAAAAATCAAATATATATATATATATGTAGTGGCATTTTGGTAATTTTGAGTTAGTGAAGCCAAACTAGCCCAACCATCCAATGGTTAGATTTAGGTTGGGTGAAGGCAAGTGTCAAGTTTTGGGTGGATTTGAGCACTATTGGCAGCTTTTGAAGTGCAATAATGGATTGTCCCACATCTCCAACAAAGGATTGCTAGTTTGTTGAGGACTTCCCATTCTTGGGAACCCTCGATCCATATGAAATATCATATTTGGTGTGCAATTGAGTTTTTTCAGCTAAACTACCTCTGTCCAAGATATTGATGGTTTTCCCAAGTACAATATAATCTTTTTCACTAGTTTCCCACGCAACGAAACTTGTGCAACTGTCTATGCATTAAACACAACTACAGATTGTTGATGGAGACTCAAATGGCATCTCTGGTAGATTTTTAATTGGGTTATAGACCTTCCAGTTAGCATTAAATGGTGCAGTTTTTTAATCAAGTTTTGCCTCCATGTGTTTGTCGCCTAACCATTCCTAATGAAGATGAGTACCATTGCAAGCTAAAAGCTTGGCTTGTGCAAATATCTTTCTTCGCCAAGCAACCAATGTTTATCCATCCAAACTTGCCAAGCCACTACTCCCATAGTTTATCTGAATAATCCTCATGAGCTTGGATTTATAGGTTTATGTTTATCTACATCAAAGAGTAAAATATGAGTGAGTATTTGTTCAAATATATAAGTATGAAATGTATAAGCATGTGCAGTAAAGAAAAACACTACCTTGTATATCGAAGGAGATGGTGAGAATAATCATTGCTATGTCTCTTTATCCACTAGTCATAAGAGGCACTTATATAATATCGTTGTATAAGTCTAGCAATGTGCTAAGATAAAAGATGAATGATATGGATGTGTGCTGCAATATAATTTTATTGAGCCAAGTGCCATTAGTTGATAATGCCTAACAACATGTAAAAATATAAAAGATATATGTTGTAGATTACAATTATTGGTGACCAGTAATTGTCCTTATGTATAAAAAGAAAAATGATGTACATGACCACCAGCCATGTTAAATATCACTAGTCAGTTAAGAATAGCTTTCCCATAGCTAGAGGGACAATAGTGGCTAGCTTTGCCCATGGCTAGAGTGTGAACTATGTT